AAAAATAAGGCTATTGTTTTTCTGAATTAAATGAATTTTTTCTTGCTTTAGAGAAGGTGATGAAGACAGGCAGATACATACATACATACATGTGGAAAAATTAGCAGCCAATTGTTATGTATAATAAAGGGGCGCAGTAGGCACAATAATAGTCCCCCAAAGTAGCCCACGTCCTAGTCCTTGGAACCTGTAAATGTGCTGGTGCACGGCAAGGGGATATGAAGTTTGTAAGTGAAAAAAGGTTGCTAATCAGCTGGCCTTAAAATAAGGAGATGATTCCGGTGGGATATACATGCAAAACTCCTTAAAGGGGGGGGGAGGAGGCAGAAGAATCGGAACCAGAGAGAGACCACTGGGAGAAAGACTCAGCTGGCTGTTGCTGGCTTTGGAGATGGAAGGGAGCCAATAGCCAGTGAAACAGGTTAGCCTCTGGGCACACAAAAAACAGATTCTCCCTTAAAGCCCCCAGAAGGAATACAGCTCTGCTGGCAGCTTGGTTTTAGCCCAGTGACACATTTTTTGGACTTCTGACCTCCAAAAACTATAAGATGATAAATTTGTGTGGTTAAGCCACTTAAAAAAAAAAAAAAAAGATTTAGGCAGATACAAAGTAGCTAAGAAGTAACTCTATATAGGAGATACAACTTGATTTAAATTCTTTCTGTAAAATCTAGTGATCCATTATTTAAAAGTAGCCTTTACCAAAACATAAAAGTGTAAAGAATACCCTGTATTATAATATATGAAATAGAAGTCTTGTCTTTAGAGTGAAATTTCTCATAGTGAACCATATTTTTAAATGCCTGATTCAGTATATTCATATGCTTGCATCCCTGTAAATAATTGAGGGAGTACTACAGGGGTTTCTACAAATGAATAACTCTGGAATTTTTAGATAAAAAAAGTGTACTTTAATTCTATAAGGAATAATTTTTATGTATTATAAAAATGTGATACCTTGTGGTCTATCATTAGACCAAAGAATCAGAAATCATAGAGATTTTTTTTTTTTTTTGTATATCTAACTTAATGAGCTAACGACAGCAGTCTTATATTAAAAATTTGTCTAAAAAAGCAATCTTCAGGTACATAATTAGGTAGTTCAGACCTGGCCATACACTTAAGCACACTCTCCAGTAAAAGGAGCAGTTTTAAGTGCATGAGAAGGCTAATGTAACTCTGTGGGTAATACTTTTGATCTGTGGCTTTTTGACTGTTGTTTTCATGGATATGGATGAACACTCTTGATTTCAGATTTGTCTTAATTCTGACTCTTAATTATTTTCTTAATCATTCTATTATTGCCATTTGAATTTTACGTATTTTGGTAGACTTCCATGAAAGTTGGTAGCAGCCACAACTATATATGTATATATTTTTTAAATAAATTAGAAGCTTTTGATTAGGCAGTGAGTAGGCCTTTAATATACCTAGGATCCTATCCATGAAGCATTTCCTACATGCATATAGCTATAATTTTAATAACCAGTGTCTCCTTTGGTTTCAGATAGTCCTATTTGAAGACCTATTGGGACTCCCATGGGGCTATAGGAATTTCCATTTCAAGAAGGAGAGCTAATAAAGGCAAACTTGAATTAGCCTGATCGTTACTCAGGTTTTGCTCGGTAGCTTTCAAAGTGACTTTGCAGAGTGGGGAGAGACGAACAGATGGCAAACCTGTGAGTTCCAACCTCTCCTTTTGCCCCCAGTGTCATTACATGGGTCATTGTATGAGTGTTCAAACCCTGGTCCCCAAGGCTTAACCCCTGGGAATTCTATGGTCCTACTAATTAGAAGTTGACTGTCTTTGTGTCTAAGGATGCTATGAGCCTCTTTTTTAAAGGACATGTTATGATAGCCTCAGACATCACCAGTACTATCTAGTATATTCATTGGTTAATCTTTTCTGAAGAGAGTAACAGTGATAAGTGAGAAAATAAGCCCTGTGAAGGGACTGTGCTAAAGTAACATAATTAGTGATCTTTTACTGACTGTCATGGCTGTTTTCTTATAGGTGATCGCTTCATATGATCATTGAAAATAATACTTTTCTTGCCCTGGCTGGTCTGGCTCAGCGGTTAGAGTGTCGGTCTGTGGACTGAAGGGTCCCGGGTTCAATTCTGTGCAAGGGCATGCACCTCGGTTGCAGGTCAATCCCTGGACCTGGTCTCAGGGCACGTGTGGGAGGCAACCCATCAGTGTGTCGCTCTCACATCCATGTTTCTCTCTCTCTCTCTGAAAAGCAGTGGGAAAATATCCTTGGGTGAGGATTTAAAAAAAAGAAAATAATAATTTTCCTTTTGCCACTAAAAAAAAACCTGATAAAAAGATGTGAAATTCTAAATTTTCCATATGGAGGGGAGAATTCGTAGACTATGAAAAATATTTAATTTATGAATTTGTTTTCTTTACAGATATCCTAGACCAAGATTCTGTCTGAAAAACTAAACCTTTAAAATGACATAAAACAATTGATTCTATGCTAGATCTAAAGAAAGTTATCAGTTTCTTTGTGAAAAATCTGTTGTGAACAGTTTCCGTATTTGGTATCTTTGAAAGTTGAATCCGTCTTGGATATGGGCCATTTGTTAATGAAGGGACAAGAAGAAGTATTAGTGTGGGTGTATTTCGTGGGATTCTGGAATTAGGAGGGCCTCGGAGATGATCTCACTTAATTTTTCCATGATTTGGTTGAGGAAGCTGATCCCGAGAGGCTTGGTGACCTGCGGAAGGTCACACGTTTGTAGAGCCGCGGTTTTGTTACAGACCCGCCCTAAGCCACGCCGTGCGCCTCGGAGTCAGCGTTGATGCAAAGCTTAGATTCTGGGTATCTGCTGGGTCACGAAACCATTTTGCTTCATATTTATATTCACTCAGTTTAGGTGTCTCTCCCTTGTTAGGGCGTAGTTTTTCTGTTTTGTTTTTCAGGCATACGAGTGAATCTTTGCACTTAAAACCCTTTAGAATAATAAGAAGAAAAGCGTCAGCAGCTCTCTGTCTCTGTATCTATTACAGAGTCTCTCGAAGCAGGGGAAGTGGCGTCTAAGTTTGTGTGTGCAAATGTGAGGTAAAGTGTAATTACACTGCATGTGGAATAACGAGTGCTGAGCCAGGAGGAGCTCTGGGAACTCGTAGGCTGTTTTCTAAAGCTAAGCACCCAGTGTGCCCGTCAGCCAGAAACGCCTGTGAGTCCTGGACATCACCTGGAAATCCACAGGGGACAGCAGAAAGCATTTTCCTGCCTTTAGACAGGATTACAGCACATGAACTACTGGAAATAATAATGGAGCCCTTGTCCATTTTTCAGATTCTACATTTGATTCTCTAACTTGCTGGTGGACTATATCTACTATAGGCACAGTTCTGTTTTGTTTAAGGCACAGGTTTCAGGAGATTCTGGAACTCCTGAGATAGCTTTTGAAAGCAGTGGCCTGGTGAGTGAAATACCAGCCTCCCTCCAAGGACGCTCGGGTCCCCCTGGTGCCTTTCCCCGTCCGAGTCGCTGGGAATGCAGTGGGCGCTTGGACGTGCTTATTTGGATTCCCCGAGACCCGTTACCATCGTGCGTGTTTCAGGTTCCCTGACTGCAAGTGGGAGGAAGACCATTCCTTGCCTGCTCTTGTAGGCTGTTGTTTTCAGTGTTTAATGTGTCGAGCCGCTTTAGAAAAGTAGGCCTGTTATATAAACAGTGTATGTTCATGTCATAAAAAGGAAACTCGTCTTTGCCGGTATATGCTTATTTCCTTAGGGTACCGAAAACGTCTGGCCACAAAAGCAAGCCCATGTAGTAATCGTCTGCAACAGAAACAGGCTGCTCTGCAGTGTAGGTTAATTCTTTTTCTTCCCTTAGTTATAAGTTCTCCGACAACCACTTTCACCTAACCAAAGGAAATCTTTTAAAATAACTACTATGCTTAACTTGCGCAGTTACCAAATCATGATTTTTTCCCCCCTCTTTCTCCTTAAAATTCTCTAAGCAACATTAGTCTTACATTTCCATTGGCATGTATTCATTCGAATTCATAGTTAAGTTACACTAACATATATTTATTATAACAATTAATAAAAGCTAGCATTTATTGAATGCCTGCTGTGTGCCAAAGGATTAAGGTTCAGAGCTAAACTTATTTTGGGGACAAGGCTGTGAATTTTGATTGTGAAACAGTTTATCATGTAATTGTGAATTTGTTGGAATGTTGTGTAATTGAATGTGCTGTGTAGTTTTCCATGGTGAGATCATGTAATTGTTGTGTTCGGCAAATGTTCGGCAGATAGGTTTACATTAGTGTTCATGTGCCATTAAACCTGTATCTGTAGCCGGGCTGGGCATGGCTCAGCGGTTGAGCATTGACCTAGGATCCAGGCGATCGGGGTTCGATTCCCGGTCAGGGCACAGGCCCCAGTTGCAGGCTTGATCCCCAGTCTCCAGTAGGGGGCACGCAGGAGGCACCCCATCAATGTTTCGCTCTCACATAAATGTTCCTCTCTCTCTCTCTCTCTCCTTACCTCTCTCTAAAAATCAATAAAAATGTGTGTGTTTTTAAAAAAGAAGAGGGACATGCAAATAACAGTCAACATGTGTCAAGATTCTTAAAGAGCTAATCCAACAAATATAAAGAAGCTTACATGATTTATTGAAATCTCCAACTTCTCTTTCAGGGATTTATTTCATTTACTTATAATGGTTTCCTAGTCCTTTTCATGTAGATCAAAACATGTAGATCAAAAAGTATCGCCCTTTAGAAATCATTTAATTACATAATATTGCTGTGTTTGGGGGAGCATTATATATTAAGATGTAGGACTACAGGACTTTTTTTTTTTTTGCTCTTGAGATTTACAGGAGGAAGAAAGGAACTACCTATGGAATGGATCTGAAACAAAGCTAATAAACTTGGATTAATTAATTTGGATAATTAAAAGTCACTGAATCTAATGAGACCTGGTATTTGGTTTTTCTAAAATGGATTACTCACTACTTCCCCCCCTATTTCCCACAGGAAACCAGTTTCCTCCAGTTGCAGCACAGGACCTTCCTTGTGTTTTTAAGGCTGGCTACCTTGAAAAACGCAGAAAAGGTAAACTGTAAGAGTCTAATCAAAAATTTAAAAATGGTTTTATCCTTGGATAAAAGATGCTTGCAATATACATGTGGAGCCAATATTCTCTTGAGGTGATTGAAGAGTTTTAAGACCCTCAGAAAATCTGGATAACGTTAATCCAAACCGAAAAAATACAGCTTTGAGCGCTAAATAATTTTTATAACAAAACATGTGCTAGGTTTTTAGTCATCAACCTCAGTCATGTGTAAGTGACGCAGGAGCTGCCTCCTGCCTCCTGGCTCCTGGAGGAAGGCGCGGGCCATGCCCGCAGCCTCAGGGATGGATTTCTCACCGCGGCCGCCCCCACCCCGCCGCGGCGGGTTCCCCCGCGCCTGGCCTGGCTGCTCCGGGCCTGTGCCACCATTCCCATGCTTCAGTCGGCGCTCCTCTCCATCGCTGTGATCGTTGGCAGCTGACCACATGGCCTCACTCTTTCAGCACCAATCTATAAGGGAAGTGAAATGTGGAGGTGCTGTGATGATCTGGGAAATGAAAAGCAGAGGTCTCTTCATTACCATTGGGCTTATCTCTCCGAGCCCCTTTGGGCCTTTCTATTTATATTCCATTTGCTTTTCTTAGCTTTCTTAGCTGACTTTTAAAGCTGAAAGAGATAATAGAAATAATCTAGGTCAGCTCCTCCCCCTCCTTTTTATAACAGATGAGAAAATGAGACCCACACGAATCCGTTATCTCCAGGCTGTGGAGTCAAACGCTGTTTTGAGTCCCTGTCAGGCAAGTTTGTCAGCCGTGCTGTTGGTCCCATAAATGTAGCGGCTCCATCTCTGCTGCACTTTATTCCTTTTAGCTTTGTCTCCTGAAAAGAAGACACAGATGAATTAGTCCTAGAATTTTAGAGCTAAGAAGGAACCTTAGAAATTATATTAACAACTTATCCTTTTACAGTAAAGAAATGGCGTGATGTTTACATATGTTACATATATTATCTAAACTGTGCCCTTTCCCCCTTTATTGCAGATCACAGCTTTCTGGGATTTGAATGGCAGAAGCGGTGGTGTGCTCTCAGTAAAGGAGTGTTCTATTATTATGGAAGTGACAAAGGTATTGGTCTTGAGGGTTTGGGAGCCATGTTTCACATCCCCTCCCCCTTTTTGGTACAGAGTAAACTGAAAACAGATGGAGGAAGAAAAACTGAAAACTTCAATAATTATAGTCTAAGACTGATTTATAATTCTATTTCATTATCTGACAAATTCTCCCAATTCCAGAATGCTCTAAAAGTTAATACAATTATGCTTTATTAAATTAGCAAAGAGAGGAAAGTAACTTTCACCTACGTGGCCTTTCACCGTAGGAAATATTTATCATCCAGGCTGTAGTTGTAGAATCTCTGGAGAAGTTGAGACCGTTAGGATTGTGAGAGTTTAGCTGTCTGAGCACTTCAGCTGTATTAACTTGTCTAACTACAACTCTGTGCGGTAAGGTACTGTTATTAGCCCCATTTATTTTACTGTTTGGAAAACTGAGAACGGAGAGGTTAAGTAACTTGTTCATGGTCACAGAGCTGGTAAACGGCAGGTCTGGGCTTTGAACCTAGGCATAGTGGTTAGAGTCCATACTGTTTACCACTATTGTCACTCTATTAATTTAGAAACAAAATATACCTTGTAACTTCATTTGCTAATTAACAATAGTCACTATTTGAACAAATAGTCATAAAATATTGAAATTTAAAGAGTATAAGCTTTATTAGTTTTATTTTTTTCCTAGGAAAAGAAGGTCAGAAGTTGAATATTATAAAGTGAGGGTCATGGAGAAATAGCTAACATTCATTTCCATAAAGGACACTTAAGAAGAAAAAAGACATAAAAGTTTAATATCACTGCATAGAAGCTTTCCCATGGAAGTCTTATCCGTGTCGTTACTTGTGTTGTGTGGAAATTTATGTTTTATTTGACATTATTTTCAGATTTTAGGGTGTTTTTTTCTTATTAAAAAATTGGGCAGATATGATGAGTGTGTTTCAGATAAATTTGAAATACGTGCATGATGCTAGTTGATCTCACCTTTGGGCTAATGGAATTAACAAATGATTAATTTAGTTTGTCGTTTGCATTGTGTCACTAATTTACAATATGTTCAAATGTAATGATGGCGTCAATGAAGTATAAACTATAAGTAACTATTAACAGGCAGCCTTCTTTCTCCTGCTAAGAGTAAGTGGGTGAATGTGTCTGAAAATCTAGAATCCAGGTTCAGTTATGATTAACCCTCATCATTAACGTGCGTTACTATTTTAGAAATATAATTTTGTACAGTGTTGTGAATTGAGATCAAGATCTTTCTTTTCTGTGAAGACATATCCTCAATTTTATAAGACCAGAGGAGAGAGGTTTCAAAACCTTATGACTTTGGTTCGGTCAGGCCTCTCGTTTCTAATTTCTTTAACAATCAATGAGTACTAAGGTCTGTTTCCTCCATTCCCAGTCCTGACTGGTGTATACCAACTGTTAGGTCAGAGATTCACAAGAGTTTTCCAAAAACCTAAGGAGTGTTTATATTTATTTCAAAGGCTAATATTCAATAAATAAACTCTAGGGTTTTTTGGGAGGGAATAGCAGTTAAATTCCCATGTCTAGTCTTATTTAATTAGACCTTTTGGTAACAACATTCTTTGTAATTTGTGTTTTAACTACTTTGTGGTCCCTTTGGCCAGCTCTACCACCACTACTGCTTTATAAAAATTACTATTCCAGCATTCCTTTTTTATGTGGCTATTTGAAGATCTGGTTTATATTTCCTTAAATTCTTCCCTTTCTGTTAACTAGGAAGCCTCCCGTTTCCATGGAGATTTCTGTGTTTAGTGTTTTTTTCTGTGGCTGCTTCCTTTGGAATTCTTGGCCAGCTCTTCTCCTTTTAGGGACTTGGGGGAAAAAACCTCTCTTTAGACTACTTTAATTGCTTGTTTGTTATGATCCTAATTTCATTCCTTTGTATCTTTTTCTTTCCAGGAAAGTTTATGTGTCACATGAAATTTTTCTTTTCTTTTGTGAAATCAGTCAGATAACTGATTTGTACAATCTTGTTTACCATGTGTGAACCATTTACCTAAACTTTGGAAAGAACTATTTAGATATATGAGAACTATAATCCTCCAACTAAGTAGGATTTAGATAAATGGATTATAGAGGCACAGAAGGAGTTGATACCACTTACTAGGTTAAACTGCACTTTGTTACTGTTTGACAGATACATAGTTCATATTTTCTAACAGAATGTGTGCGCCAAAAGCCATTTTGACCCATCAAGATAGTATTGGCATAGAAAAAGTAGTTCTAGTCTCCAGGGTAAATAATGCACTTACCTTTGTATCCATAAATATTATCCACATTTATTATTCATGGCCATTTGCGGCCCTTAAGTAATAAATGTATATATAGAGAGAGAGTACATATTTCATCACTTGATAAAATTGCATCCATCCTTTCATCTCCTTCCTCGTCCTTTGATTGTTCAAATCTCATTTATCAAACTCATTTGGTCTAGATACTGAGACTGCCATCAAGGTGGTCAGTCAGTCATCTACTCATTCGTTTTTTTGTTTTTTTTATTTGATCAGCATCTGTTGGATACTTGGTGGTTCCTAGGCACTGGGAATCCAAAGATAACCCTGCTTAGAGGTACTCACAGTTGAAGTGAGAGGAAGAGAGGAAGTTGTGGGATCGGAAGGAGGGCTGGATAGATAAACTGATCATTTCTACCAAGTATAATAAGTGATTTAAATAAAACACCTTCGGACCACAAAGGAGGGGTGGCTAACTGCCCAGGGGAGTTAGTCCTTCTAGTGGAGAGGACATTTGGCCTTAAATAATGAGTAGGAGTTTGTCAGGTGACTTGAAGGGTAAAATGGACAGTCCAGGCAGGGGAACAGCAGAGATTCTGAGTTGCAAAAAGCCTTGGATGAGATAAAAGCTGGGATCAAGGCTGAGCATAGAGTGAGTGGAGGGAGGGGGCACATAAAGGTAAAGAGTGGGTTAGGGTGTGATTAAGACTAGGGCTTTATGGCCAGATCTAGTTTTTAGAAGTAATTGTAATAGTATTGTGGAGGGTGGATTGGAATAGATAGAGACTGGTCAACAGGAGCATGTAGGAGGACTCTGAACTAGTGTAGGCAAGAGAGGTTATCACAGGGCTTCGGAGAGGCAGCCGAGGCTCAGGGCAGACCTCCCTGCCCCAGAGTCATGCTCGCCCCCCAGCCTGGCTGTTATCAGCCCCTTCAGCAGGCCTGCGAGTGAGGAACCTGCTGCCAACTCCTGTTTTACTGTTTCCCCTTTTTCGTTTTAACCTGCGTACGATCTTGAAGCGGCCTAATGAACCTCATTTACCTCTCCTCACTTTTGAAAGGGGAGCGGTTAGTGTGTAATATTCTCTTTTCTTCCCACTTAAGAGATTTTGCCACCTCACCCCCACTCTGTAGTTAAAGAAAATCTTAGCACTGTCCAGTATGTGGCAGCTACAGTAGCCTTGGTCCTGCCAGATCATCCTAAGTGTATATCAGGAGTTATTTATTACATCAGGGGGTTGTAATTTTTTCAGTGTTGTATCTTTTCAATATATAATAAAAGTCATTAGGAAATGGGGCGTAATACAGATAATTTAAAATAAAATTTTTAGGTTGGCAAGGAAATAAACATTTTAATTGAAATTGACTCCTCTGCTCTCTCACTTCCGCCACAACCTCACCACTGATAGGAAAACTAGGATGTGTCTGCTCAGTTTGGATGAAAATTATAAAGCATCTTTTGATGTCAAAATAGCATCAAAGTTCTTTTTGAATATTTAAAAAATTTTGTTAAAGGACAGTGTTTGTACAATTGGAAGTTCTGTTGTTTTATAGCAACAACTTTAGTAATTGCATAAAAGCTTGCCCTTTTCCCTGATTTATTAGAGGCAAATTCCTTGATCACAGCATCAGCATTTAATAATTGTGTGATGACTATGTATAAAATGCATAAATGAACCCATTTAAAAAATTTACATTATAATTTTGTGTAAAGAAGGGGAATACCTTTGTTATTCCTTAAGAAAGAGGAATAGTTGATTCTACTTTTTATCAGAGTTATTGCAGTTTTATAGACTTTGGGGCCTTTGATGTGCAGATATTAACTTTACAGTTTATCACAATAAGTGTGAAATAAAAGGCCTTTATTTCTGCCTTTATACATAGTTAAGAGACCTTGTAACAGGACAGCGATGTTAAAATGTACATCTGATATTTAGTAGGATTTTCTTAGCATGTAGAAATATTCAGGTACAAACTAAGTCTTATGAAGGCTCTGATGATGACAAATCATGTTGGTTTGCAATAAAACAGGACACAGTTTGATTTAAAATATATCTACCTTCAATCTCTATATATCTTCAATCTATATATGGATGTAGATATATTTTAAATCAAACTGTGCACTGCTATAACTATTATATAGATATAGATATATGGATGTTGATGTGTCTGTGTATGTAGATAGATGATTGATAGATACAATAGCATGTACCAATAGACTTTTTGAACACGTATGTGTCAGGTGTTATTAATACGAAGTGCTGTAATCCATTGGCTCAGAGGAGTGGGCACAGAGCCCATAAAACAGTATGACGCGTAGAAGCGGGCTCGCTGGGGCAGCAGGCAAGTGAGGGCTGTGAGCCAGGAGGGCACGGGGTCAGGTTGGCACATGTCAGGAGTCTGGCCTTTCCTGTCTAAGGGACAGTTGAAGTTTGTAAGCACTGAAGGTCTTACAGATGGCATGAGAAAGTCTGGTTGCGTGTTGGAAAGATCACACTGCCAGCTGCCAGGAGGTGAGACTGAAGGCAAGATGTGCCTGAAGCCGAGTGGCGGAGAGTTCAGAGAGGTGTTGTCCCTGGAGCTGCAGGTCACCTGAGGCGTTTGAGGTGCTCTCAGGTCGCACAAGCAGCAGCAGTGTCCCTTATTTTCTGAAGACTCTCTGCGTAATGTTTACCTTAACAATCGCTATATGCTACGATCGCCTGATGGACCATAGCATAATTATTACCTGAATTTCAGTTGTCAAGAAAGACAATAC